GGCCCCATGGGGTCCAATAGCAACATTTTGCACTTAATTGCCTTTATTTGATAAGAGCTGTTCCCACTATCAAGTCTGGTTTAGTAATACAGCAAATACAGCAAATTTTAAGGATGCAAAGACACTCTGGTTACATAGTGTACTACTCTTTGCACTGCTAACCAAAGGGTCAGTGGTTCAAATCTACCAATTGTTCTTTGGGAGAAAAATGGGCACTCTCTTCACATCAAGATTTATAGCCTCATAAACCTAATTTCTTAAGCTCAAGGAACTGAAGAACAAATTCAAACCTTGAGTTGCTATAATTAAGGATGCTTTAGACAGAATATGAAAATGATCCAGAAAGTATTAAAAGAAGATGGAAAGAATATACAGTCACTGTATTGAAAGGAATTGGCAGACAGAAGAATTTCATAAAACAACATATGAGCAAGAGCCTATGGTGATGAAGGAAGAAGTTCAGGCTGCTTTGAACGAATTAGCAAAAAATAAGGCCCCAGGAATAGATGGTATACCAACTGATGCATTTCAACTAACAGATGCTGCCCTGGATGTGCTCACCGAGTTGTGCAAAGAAATCTGGAGAACAACCACTTGGCCAACTGACTGGAAGAGATCTGTATTTGTTCCCATTCTAAAGAAAGGTGACCCAACAGAGTGTGCAAATTATAGAACAATATCATTGATATCACATGCAAGCAAGATTCTGCTGAAGATTATCCAAAAATGAGTGGAACAGCACATCAGCAGAGAGCTACCAGAAGTCAGGCTGAATTTAGAAGGGGTTGTGGTACTAGGGATATTGTAGCTAATGTGAGATGGATCTTGGCCGAAAGCAAGAAATACCAGAGGAATGTCTGTGTTCATTGATTATGCAAAGGTGTTTGACTGTGTGGCTCATAACAAACTGTGGCTGACTCTGAGAAGAATGGGAATCCCAGAGCACTTGATCATGCTAATGTGAAACTTATTCTTGGACCAGGAGGCAGTTGTCAGAAGCAAGGAAACACCGTATGGTTCAAAATTGGGAAGGCCGTATGCCAGGGATGTGTCCTTTCTCCATCCCTTTTCAACCCATATACAGAACAGATTATCTGGGAGGCTGGGCTGTATGAGGAGAAGTGTGGCATCAGGATTGGTGGAAGATCCATCAACAATCTGCGGTCTGCAGATGACACAACCCTACTTGCTGAAACTGAGGAGAACCTGAAGTGCTTGCTGCAAGAGGGTCAAAGACTGCAACCTTCAGTATGGATTAAAGCTCAATATCAAGAAGACAAAGATTCTCACCACTGGACCAATTGGCAGCATCAGGATGGATGGTGAAGAGATTGAGATTGTTCACAGCTTTAATTTGCTTGGCTACACAATTAACAGTCTTGGCACCAGCAGCCAGGAAATTAAAAGACAGATTGTGATGGGAAAATGAGCTGTTAGGGACCTCTCCAAAGTACTGAAGAGCAATGATGTCACTCTGGAGACTATGGTGCACCAGATACAGGGCATGGTCCCTGCAATCACTTGTTATGGGTCAGAGAGTTGGAAAATGACTAGGGAGGATAGAAGGAGAATGGATGCCTTTGAGCTGTGATGTTGTAGAAGAGTATTGAATATACCATGGACTGCTAAGAAAACAAACAGGTTCAACCTGGAGAGGGTTAAATCACGCTGCTCTTTGGAGGCAAGGATTCTGAGGCTTTGTCTGACATACTTTGGACATGTTGCAAGGAGGAACTGGTACTTGGAAAGAGATGTCATGCTTGGTAGGCTGAAGGGGCAGCACAAGAAGGAAAGACCCTCTATAAGATGGATTGATTCAGTGACTGGGGTAATTGGGGTTGGTGTGTTGGAGACCGTGAGATTGGCACAGGGCAGAGTAGGGTTTAGGGTTGTTGTACATAGGGTCACTATTAGTCGCAAGGAACTCTGCGGCATGTAACAAACCCAGTGGAGGCTTGTCATTACTTGGGATTAACTAGATGGCAGTGAGCTTTGGTCTGGTTTCCTCAAGGCTGCTGGAGCTCACTTCACAAATTTATTCCTTACTGTTTTGTTAAGAAAGGTAGTCTTTGGGCATTCCATACATCAGTCTATGGGTCTAAAATGATAAATCCACTCTAAGTTATCAATTTCCCTAAGCCTTTGGGTACCTTCTACAGTATACCAAGGCAAGCTTGGTATTTCAATTTGGCTTGCTGTAGGCCACTGTATGCATAATCTGTGCTTCATTGAATCAACTGAATAAGCTATTAGATCCTTCTCTAACCTCTTGAGCTGAAGCATTAAATGAAGAATCTATGCAAAAATGAGTAGTAGTTCCTGAGAATATTCAGCAATATTTTGTAAAACATCTATCTCAAACAATGCCCCAGGCAAAATCTCCTTAAGATATTCTCATTAATGATGGAGACTCATTAAGTTGTTGTTGTTGTTAGATGCTGATCAAGTAGGATTCATAGCAACCTACACTACAAACAACAGTTCTGAATCATGTTCTATCCTGTGCCAACCTCACTGTCTCTGATACACTCAAGCCTATTGCTGTAGTCATTGTGTCAGTCTACCTGGTTGAAGGTCATCTGCTCTTTTGCAAAAAGATTGAACAAAATAGAAAGATTTTTTTTAAATTGTAAGCAAAGAACTGAAAAAGACATAAATTAGGAAATAGTTTCTGTAACTTGTCAAATCATATGTTTATTATGGTAAATAACAATCTAAACTTAAAATGCTTATATGTGTATCTATACATGGATCTATAATATTATGATTCTGTTTGCACTATATGTGTAAGGAAATATCATCTGGCAATTTGGAGATATGGTGTAACTGAAATACAGGTCTGACTTGTTAATCTGCTGTTAAAGACAAGATTATTTTAATTGCTCTTTTTCAGTCTTTTAGAAGACCATAGGTGAGTTTTTTCTGTTGAAATGCTATGTTGATTGTTAAGGTGGTGAGTTTTAAATACTGAGAAATACAAAAGTATAGTTATCTTTTATTGCCATTTTTATGCCCTATGTGAATGCTTATAGATGATATTTTAACATTTCCTGGGTTGTTTGGGTTGTTTTTTATAAAATTTGAAATTAAGTTAAGAAGCTTGGCTTAACAAACATTGTTAAAGATGCTCTGCAGGTCATTTACCAAAATCATTAAGACAGAGAATCATCCCAGCTGGCAGTAAGTAGGCAGGCACCAGGCAGGGAAGGAGCTCTGGTGGCATGGTTTGGTTACATGCTGCACTGCTAACTGAAAGCTTAGCAGATCAAATCCACCAGCTACTCCACAGGAGAAGGGTGTGCAGTCTCCTTCTGTAAAGGATTATTTCCTTGGAAACTTGATGGAGGGTCATCATGAGTTGGAATCTGCTTCAAGGGAATAGGTTTTGAGTGTGTTTACCAAACTAAAAAGGAAAAGAGACAGAAAGTATATGTGTGTGTGGTAAGATGTGTGGGATTAGTTGAAGAGAAGAGGCACGCTTCTATTTAAGAGTGTTAAATCCTTACCTTTCATGGTAGGAAGTAAACATAATGCTTAAAAGAAGTAGGAATGGTTTTTCCTTCGAAAAATACTTAAAAAAATTTAAAGGAGTTGTTTCTAGGAAGCAGAAATTTGTGTATATAAAGGAAAGGTACTGTTATCTTTCATAAAGTAGAAAGTAATTATAAAGAATAAGAATTTGATGAGGGAGAAAGGAAAGAAGGGCACCTGAGAGTGGTGACAATAATAGAAAACTGGAAAAATTCAGGTAAGAGGGGTTTAGGTAAGACAACTAGGGATTCATATCAGAAACATGCTTTACAATGTATTTTGTCTTAGAAGTCCAAGAGAGTTTTTGTTTTGAAGTTAATACTTCCTCTTATATCCTATGCTTCTTTAACATGACAGACAAATTTATGATATAGGTAAACAATATTGAAAGAACAAACAAATCTGTTTTAGAATGTGGCCAGAATACCCTTAGAAGAGAGAATGACAAGACTTTCTCTCACATACATTGGAAATGTTCTTAGGAGAGACTAGTCTCTGGAGAAAGACATCCTACTTAGGTAAGTAGAGGATGAGTGGGAAAAGAGGAAGACCTTTAGAAAGATAGGTTGACGCAGTTCTTGCAGCAATGGGCTTGAACATAGCAATGATTGTGAGGGACTGTGCAGGATCAAGTAGTGTGCATAACTATTAGTCAGAACAGACATGTAAGCTGACATAACATCCATCTTTATTGCTAGAATTTAAGATCTAGTGTTCAGAGACTCCTATTGGACCTAGTAGTTTACTCTAGGGCATCCATAATTTCCTTGTAATTATATGGAAAAAATTTGCCTTTGGTGGCCTACTGGCAAGAAGCTGTGCTACAATCTTGAAGGTGGTGGTGTTGTTTACCATCAAATCAGAACCTACCCATAGCTGACCCTCCAGCGTGTTTTCAGAGGCAGTTAATCGCACAGGAGGAGATTGCCCATTTTGGTCCTGTGAAGCAGCTGTTGGCCTTGAACCACATGCCCTGGGATTGCTGTGCAGCTTCTTGACACTAGGCCTCCAGAGCTCCTTATCTTGAAGGTACACAGTTCAAATCCTCCAGCTGCTCTTCAGGAAAAGGATGGTCCTTCTCCTCCCATGTGATTAACTGCCTCTGAAAACCTGCCAGAGGGTCAGCAATGGTTCAGTTCTGACTCGATAGTACAAAACAACAGTTTGGTGGTTAGCATGCTTTTTGGAGGATAGTGGGGGGAAGGAAATGGTTAAGTGGTATTCAATAAATTTTCAAAGGATATGAGATTAAAAAATGTTAAAGGACTGTTGGTGTAGGCTAAGTAAAGTTACAGATATCAATAGATACAATTTTTATTTTCTAGCTTTGTATTTTATGTCTACTTCCTAGTTAACAATTCTCATAAAATATTATTATGTATAAAATTCTGTTTGTCTTTTATTCAGCATATATTATTTTGCTGGTACTTTACTTTTAAAATAAAACCTCTTTTTTTTTTTTTTTAAAGGTTCAAGAGCAAGTACATCCCAATCTCTCAGCTAATGAAGAGTCACTCTATTATATTGAAGATTTGATTTTTCAGTTGCTTAATAAATTATGCATGGCCCAACCAAGGACTGTTCAGGATGTGGAGGTAAAAACTATTTTGTTATTTCAGAAAGGTCACTAAACCACTATACAAACTAGTTTTCTATTTTTTGTTGTTGTTTGATGCTGTCGAGTCATAGATGACTCTTAGCGACTCTGTGAACGAACGCCCTGAGCACTGTTCATACATAGAGTTTCCGAAGGCAAGCCATTTTGGAAGTGGATGCTGTTCCTGCTTCCAGGCTTGTTTTAGTCGTAAAGCTCCAGCCAACACTGTCCACCATGGGTACCCATTACCACGATTGGCACATCTCTGTCAGAGTGTTCAGCATCACAGCAACCATGAGTTACCTGTGTACAGCAACGCACAGACCAGTGCTGTACCACCATAGGGATTCCCTTTATTCTATTTATATCTATATAATTTTAAAAAGTAAAATAAGTAAAGTTTTTAAAATTATATATATATATTTTATATATATAAATGTTTTGATGTTTTTGCAATTTAATGAAAGAAAGTTTTCGAGCAAAAGAGTACTGGAACATTTTTTAAAAGGAAACAAAACCAAAGCCAAAAACTCTTGAAACTTACTACATACCACACACACAAAATTAATTTGTAATAGTCTTAAATGTTAAAGCTGGAACTAAAGTTTCTAGAAGAAAGAGTAGGAAGATGTATTCATGCCCATCTGTGTTTCATAAAAGCAGTTGAGTCAGTTTCCACACAAGGTGGCCTTGCATGACATTCTGAGGCTGTGAACTTAATAAGAGGTAACTCCCTATTTTTCTACCTTGGAGTTGATGGTGGATTTGTTACCTTAGAGCGATGTGTTGGCAGCTCAGTATACTATAGACTACAACACCAGAGGTCCTCAGCCAGCTAGGCTTAGGCAAAAACAAATTTTAAGGAAAACTCAATGCACAATTATTAAAAAATAAAATTGACGAGGTAATAAAAAGGTACAAATCACAGACTAAGGGAGTATGTTTGCAACACATATTACTGAAAGTGTCTGTTTCGAGAATATGTTAAAATCTCATACAAATTGATTACAAATACACTGACCTTCCCCCAAATTAGCAAATAATCTCATTTTACACTTCACAAACACACACTTTACAAAAGAAGATCTATTAATGACCAGTAAGCATATGAAAAGTGGAGCCACTGGTGAATTTGAACTTCCAGAGAGGCCTGGTCTTTGGATTAGGAAGAGAACTCCCTACAGACAATGCCACCAGAACTACTGTTGTTTTGTTGTGTACCATCAAGTTAGTGCCAACTCATAGCTGACTCTGTAGCAAGTTTTCAGAGGCAGTTTAATCACATGAGAGGAGATTGTCCATCTTTCTCCTGTGGAGCATCTGATGGATTCAAACTGTGTGGCTGTGGAATGACAGCACAGCACAGCTTCTACCAGAGCTACTACCAAGGCTACTACCAACTACTAGTTGAGACCAGATTATCACCAGATCATAACTGGTCGTGGATGCAGTCCTTCACTATTGCAGATAGGAGTACAGGAATAGGGGAAAAGGCTTCGATAGAGATACATATATTATTGTAGACTAAAAAACCAAATCTTAAAGGATTGGTTTTGGGGCCACCTGACTGCATGGTGGTCATGGCCATGATGTCTTCCTTAAATCGTTAAGGACATGCTCAGGCAAGTTGTTCCTCCCTGTGGAGCTCTTGTCGTGTATCCCATAGGTGTTGCACTACTAACCTAAAGTTGGCATCATGGGAGAAAGATGGACAATCTCCCATGCAATTTACAGCTTTGGAAAATCCAGTGAATGGTCAACTATGGGTTGATTCTGGATCCATAGCAATGGGTTTTTGAGGCTTTTGTAAGCCACTTTGAACTGCATTCTTCTGCAGGACAAACGGTTCTTCTGTGGACTTGCTGGGACCTATTAAGCATGGCCATATGGTAGGTTTAATGGTTAGAATGAAACTCAAATCGTGTCAAAACTCAAGTCAGAAATAAAAATGTGCTCTGCTATTCTCTTCAGTCTTTAATAAGCCAAAATGCTTCAGAAATGAAGCATTACTATTCTACTTCATGCTAATCTTAACCTCTCCTGTATATTAGGTTTTCCTTCCCCCCCACCACCACCATCTTAATTGTGTATATCCTGAAGTTTTCTTTTACTTTTCTGTTTACCTGCAAGAATTATATGGAAAATCTTGATAATCCTATTGATTTATTTAAAAGTGAAAAATTATCAGAACATACTATATTACTATCAACTACTTGTATTAAAGAGAATAAGCAAGTTGAATTTTCTACTTTTAAGCACATCTGTGAAAATTAATATTGTTACAATCTCAACAGGAGCGAGTTCAAAAGACTTTTCCTCATCCAATTGATAAATGGGCTATTGCTGATGCACAATCTGCCATAGAGAAACGAAAACGAAGAAATCCTCTATTACTTCCTGTGGACAAAATTCACCCCTCACTGAAGGTAATGAGAAATGAAATATTTGGGAAATTCTACAAAGGATGCATCTAGAGAGCAGAAAGCAGGACATAGGGGCACAGAGCTGTGAACGTCCCTCCAAAAGAACCAGGGGAGAAAGAATAGCACATCCTCTCACTGCCGTAGAGCAGAAAGCAGATAAGGAGTCTGTAACTCAGCCCGTTGGTGCCTCTAGAACCACAGCAGCAGTAAGAGGTTCGTTTGTTTGTTGCTGATTCAGATTCACTATTACAATATCAACAAAGGGGCTTATTAGGAAAGTAAGTTGGGGAGTGAGAGGAGCAAATAATATCACCCCAAACAAGTCCAGGTTTTAGTCCGAATTCCAAGGCACAATTCCTCAATTATTCCAGGCTTCAGTTTTAGTTCATCAGTCAAATCCAAATCATCCAGCAAGAACAGCAAAAACCTTTAACTGTGGCCAGCACAAATGCAAGAAGCCTCAGGTCGCTCCTTGCCACAGTTTCTCCACAGCAATACCACAGTCTCTCCATTACCATCACCAGGGTCTCACTCTCACCAAGGTCTTTTTCCAGTCTCCCTCAAGTCTTGCTGCCATAAATCTTTCTGACCAGTGTAGGAATCACTCTGTTATCCAAGACCCACAGCTGTTGATGATTTGCAAGACCATGCTGATTTGCAAGATCATGTGTCTGTAGATAAGGTAGCTGGAGACAAGGGAGGGCTAAGAAAGCCAAATTTAGGCTAACACCACAATGCTTTTTGTAATATTGGTATATTTGAGGAGCCCTGGTGGTGCAATAGTTGAAACACTGAGTTCCTAACTGTAAGGTTGTTTGAACCCACCAGCAGCTTGAAGAGAAAAGATGTGATATTTAGATCTGTAAAAAGGACGGCCTTAGAAACTGTAGAACAGTTCTACTCTATCCTACAGAGTTGCTCTGAGTTGAATTGACTGGATGGCAATATGTTTTGCTTGGTGTTTTTATATAGCATAATCTGAGTGTGTATACAGACACATCACATGCCTATATGTACATATTTTTAATGTATACACAAAGTGCATATAAAACATTTGTATATATTATTTTTAATGTGTACAAAAATAAAGTGAAATATACCGATAAAATCAGATTGCTTTTGAAGTCATAATGAAATTAATGAAAATGATAATGTACCTTTTTGGCATCTACCATTAACTGCTATCTCTGATTTAATTGTAATACACTATGATTGTTACCATTTTGGTAAGAAAATACATGTTAAAAAAAAACTACTGAGATTCAGAACTGTTTTAAAATTAATCCATATATATCATGGATGCATCTACTTAAAAGTAAGGTTATTAACAATAAGAGTATTTAGTCTACAAGAAATACTTGGTATACAGGGATTTGAAGACTCTTGTGTAGCAATTTCAAGAATACCTTGTCCCATACACACATCTTCCTCTCAATAGAAAACACTATAATTGTGTAGTACTAGTTAAGGAAATGTCCTTTTAAGAAAGTAGATGCCTGTCAAATGAGTTTTAGTTGAAAGTAAATTATTTTCAATGAAGTGCAGCCAAGATTTCTTTTAGACAGAAATTTCATATCACAGGCAAACTTGATAGATTAATCATCTCTTTAAAACAAAACAAAAACTCTGATGCTAGGAAAACCCCCTAATTTTATACCTTATGGTACTCATAAATTTAGACATTGGATTTATAGAAAGTTCTTCAAAAGCAAAAAAATGTAGTGATCTTCAAGTATTTGATAATTGACAATGTCATCATCTGGAATGAAATTATTTCTTTTTCCACAGGAAGTTTTAGGATACAAAGTGGATTACCATGTCTCTTTGTATATTGTGGCTGTACTAGAATATATCTCAGCTGATATTTTGAAACTGGCTGGTAATTATGTTTTTAATATTCGACATTATGAGATATCTCAGCAAGACATTAAAGTGTCAATGTGTGCCGATAAGGTAAGTGTTAGAAGATAATTTAAACTTATTTAAATAATAGTGAGAGGATGTCAATTCTGCTTTCACATTTTTTGTTTCATACACATTACATAATTTCTGATATTAGAAGAAGATAATTGCAGAATAATCAATTATGGGAGGAGGTAGGAGAGTGGTGAGAGGGTGGTTTGCATGAAGTGGGCATTGAAAAAGAGAGAGATTTTTGAGTGGCAGGAGGTTAAACTGAGGAAGTGGAAAGGGACAAAATTCTAAATAACCTTTATCCTTACAAAATTTTATGCTGAAGAGTATGAAAATCTAGCATCAGCTTTATATAGGCTATGATAGCAGATGTTTTAAGGAATTTCATTTTGGATTGGACAGATTAGTTAGCAAAGAGATCGCATAACAAAACTAGCATAACCTTGTTTGAGATGTTATTGTAGGAGTTCTTGAGTTGGCACCAACTCATAGAGACATCATGTACAGTGCGATGAAATGCTGTTCAGTCCCATGCCGTCCTCACAACCCTCTGTTCTAAGCCCATTGTTGCGTCTACTGTGTCATTTAATCTCCATGAGGGTCTTCCTCTCTTTCAGTGACCCTCTACCAAGCATGTTTTCTTTCCCTAAAGTCTGTATCCTCCTGATAACGTGCCCAAGATATGTGAAATGAAGTCTCTCTCTTCTAAGGAGTATTTGTCTACCAAGATGAATATGCTTGTTCTTTTGACAGTTTATGCCAAAATCTTAGCCAGTATCACAATGCAGAGAAATACTTGTTCTTTTCTTCCTTACTGATTTCCAAATTTCACATCCATGTGAAGTGATTGAAAACACCTTGGCTTGCATCAGCCTTTAGTCCTCAAGGTGATATCCTTAGAGTCACTGTGCCATTCCATCTCATTGAGGGTCTTCCTCGCTTTTTCTGATCTTCCACCTTTCCAGCATGATATCACTTACTTAGGACTGGCCCCTTCTGACAACATGCTTGAAGTTTAGGAGAATGAAAGATGTTTTAGTCAAGGAGCTTACTTGAGAAGTACTGTTGTTAATAGTGAATGAAGAAAATCTAACTACTCAGGAAAAATATTTCTGAAGTCCAGAGAGGTGCTAAAGACAGATATATATTTAGTGATTATTATGCAAAAGGTAGTAGAAATTCATTCAGGTGGATGAACTCACATTCCTTCCAAGAGAAAGTAAACAGATATTTCAGATTTGTCACTTGCTAGGTGTGGTGCCATAACATGTCAGGCTGCTAACATGAAGGCTAGTGATTCGAATCCACTAAGTGCTCTTCAAGATAAAGATGGGCAGTCTCTTCCCAGTAAGATTTACAGCTTTGGAAATCCGACAGTGGCTCTCATGCTGACTCAGAGTTGATTTGATGTGGCTACTTTGTGTTTTTGAATAAATAGGGTCTCCATGGTTGTTTCTTAAAAATTTTAATTGCTTTATATTTATAAATAAAAAAACATTTAAAAATATAGATTTCAGGCTTACTTTTAAAAAAATAAACTCAAAAGGTCTGTGCTAACAGTGGCATTGAACAGTATTCTTGTTTAGGTGGCATATTCCTTACTTCTTATTATAGTAATTTACATGCCTCACTTCTGTCATTTGAATTCAAGGTATATTGTGACTTTTTTCTCCTCTCATTGCCATCGAGCCAGAACTAATTCAAAACTGACCCTCCAGCGGGTTTTGAGAGGCTGTAAATTGCACAGAAGGAAATTGCTTATCTCCCTCACAGACGCTGGTAGATTCAAATCAACCACCATTAGGTTGAAACATACTATGACTAAAAGCCAAAATAGAGCCTTGGATTGGGTGATAGAGGAAGAATCACTACTAAGAATGATATCTAAGAAAACTAGGGAAGAGAAAAGTTTAAGAAGTAGTCAGCTGTGATAAAAATGAAAAAAATTAAGTGAGGCTGAAGCAAACCATTCTACTTTGCATTAGGGAGTCAGTGGTGTTGTTGTTAAGTGCCATCAAGTCATAGATGACTCATAGTGACTCTGAATGAAAGACCTGAACACTTGTATAACTTCATTGTATCTTCAAGTTCATAGGGTTTCTGGAGGCAAGCTATTTCGGAAGTGGATGCCACTCCTGCTTCCAAACTTGTTTTAATTGGGGAGTTCCACCAAACATGGTCTACCATGGATAACCATTATCTCATATGACACATCAGTGTCATAGTGTTTAGCATCACAGCAACCACAAGTTACCTCTATACAGCAAATGGACAGACCAATTCTATACCATTTGGAAGAATGTTTGATTAAAAAACGGTTAAAACCAGACCTGAGGCCCACAGAATACAATAACCCACCTTTGGCTTGGTAGCATAACTTTCTATATACAGGCCCACAGCACTGGTCTGTCCATTTTCTGTACAGAAATAACTCGCGGTTGCTGTGATGCTAAACACTGTGACACTGATGTGCTGAATGCGATAATGGTTGCCCATGATGGACAGTGTTTGGTGGAGCTCTCCGATTAAAACAAGCTACTTCTGAAATAGCTTGCCTCCAGAAACTATGAACTTGGGGAAAAGATGAAAGTTATACAAGTGTTCAGGTCTTATATTCATAGGGTCACCATGAGTCATCTATGGCTCGACAGTACTTAACAACAACAGGGAGTCAGTAGTGACATTTAATAGAGTAACGAGCTTGAGAAGTTAAAAGCTAGCAAGCATGCTGTTACTAGTTTTCTGAGTTGACCAAATCAGTATCTTCCCTCCTGTCAGTGTTATTGGGTAGAGATTACCCATCTTTTATAGGCAGTAAATATTAATGGGTAGAGATTAACCATCTTTCTCTTGGAGCCTCTGGTGGTTTCAAACTGCTGAAGAGGCTTGGCCTTTTGTTTAGCAGCACAATACAATACCAAAGCTCCTCTGAAAATATTTTATCAGAAAAAGAAGAGAGGACAGTGAGTTCTTATGTATCTTACCTTCCATTATTTACATGACTGTTTAAATCAGATTGTACTTGTTAGTTCCTTGTTCAGATGCATTGTTGTTGTTGTTGTTAGGTGCCATCAAGTCGTTAGATGACTCATAGTGATCCTATGAACGAAAGGCCTGAGCACTGTTTAAAGAGTTTCTGGAGGCAAGCCATTTTGGAAATGGATGCTACTCCTGCTTCCAGGCTTGTTTTAATCGGGAAGCTCCACCAAACACCATCTACCATGGGTAACCATTATCACATTTGGCACATCAGTGTCATAGTGTTTAGCATCACAGCAACCACGAGTTACCTCTGTACAGCAATGCACAGACCAGTGCTATACCACCTAGAAGAATGTTTGACAAAAACCAATCAATTTGAGCAAGGCCAGAGGGCTGCAGATTAAAATCACCCATCCTGGGCTTGGTAGCATAACTTTCTCTCCACTAGGCCGACATAGCTCTCTCATTAGCTTCTTTTTATATTTTCTCCTTTCTTGTTTAGAAGATCAGGGGTGTAGGGTTCATGTCTCTTCTGTTCATTACTGTCTTTTTTACCAACATTTGGTACCTTTTCTGTGAACAGTAGGTGCTTTTCCAAATAAATGAATATTCTTTTTTATTATATTGTCAGAATTTCCTCTGATTGTCTGAAATTGTTTTACTTTTTGAGTCTTCCTTTTTGAAAAGATGTATTTTTAAATTATTTTTTTAAAAAATTTATTATTAATTTCAATGAAAATTTAGAGACTTTGGACTTCCATTCATTCATTGTTGCACTTTTCTTCCCTCCCAACCCTTCCCCTTAGTACACTACCCATTTGGAAAAGTAAAAGAAAAATTCTTTCATTGTTTTACTACCTTTCCCCCTCAGTTCCACTCCACTATGCAGCCTTCATTCTGGACTCCTGTCATGAAAAAAATACTTCATCACATATCCCTTTTATACAGTGTTCTCCCTCCTCTGTTTCAATGCAGTATACATTATTGAACCCATCTTTCTCAGTCTCCCCCAACCCCGATGTCAGTCCTATTTAACAACAGTGACACCATGCAATATTTGTCCTTTTGTGACTGAGATGCTTCACTCAGCATAATGTAGACCAGGGTCACCCATTTTGAATAATATTGCATGAGTTCCTTGTTTTCAATGCAGTGTAGTATTCCATTGTGTGAATATACCACAGTTTCTCTATCCATTCATTTGTTGATGGGCACTTAGGTTGTTTCCAACTCCTAGCTATTGTGAACATAGCCGTGATAAACATGGGTGTGCAAAAAAAATATGTTGGTTGGTTTGTTTTTTAATTCTAAGGAAATGGTTTTTAGTAAGTGTTATATATAAAATTACTTAGGTACATTTTAGAGTATTGCTATTGTAAAAACTCTTGGTCACCTTTTTCCTTGTTTGGATTTTTTTTTTAATCTCTCATTGTGATTTGAGTGAAAGTTTACAGAGCAGATTGGTATTCCATTAAAACATTCATACATATTTTGTTTTATGACATTAATCACAATCCCCACATCATATCACCCCACCTAGCTCTCTCTCTGTGGTTCTTATTTCCATCCATACTTTAATCCTTTCCCTTCATACTTTCTGGGTTTTGTTCCTGGGCAGATGCTGCCTTTGTGACCTTGTGTGATTGACTGTTATAAGGACTAAGTATCACCCTGGTGTTACTGTTCACCTTATCTGTCTGTTGATTGGCTGTAAATTGGTGCCATAGCGATGAGTTCAGTTCCAGGTTCAAAGAGCAGTGAAGGCTTGTGGTCTTGGGGGTTTTGTATGTCAGTCTACCCCAGAGCAGTAGATCTGGACATTATTGAGATTTTTAGTATTTTTCTATATTTGTCTCTCACTCTATTGGGATCCTCTATTGTGGTCCATTTTAGAGCTGTTAGCAGTGATAGCTGAATACCATCTGGTTCTTCTGGTCTCAGGAACGTGGAAATTGATTTTTGCTATATCTGTTAGTGGTTTGGACCACCTATTTCCATGCATTTTTTATTTTCTTCACTTGTCTTTGCTACATACAGGAAGCAAATGGTTCTATTGTAGATGGCCACTTGCAGGCTTTTATGTTCCCGGTTGGTACCTACCAGTACAGGAAAGAACTTTTTCTTGTGGACTATATTGTCCAAGTTGACTACCATGTTTCCTAAAACTCCATGATCAAATGGTTAAGAAGTGATTTTGATTTCCATTGGCTCTGCCATATATATGGATATATTTGCAGCACTTAAATGTACTCATGATGCAATTTCATCTGCCAAGCCTGCATGCTCTTGGGTTGTAATCCCTTTTCTTGCCCACATCTGCTTGTCAGCCTTTGTATCCATTTGTAGGTTAATGTTTGTTGTTACTTGTGATGTAGAGTTGTATCTGTATGGTCGTGGTCTATAACTCTTGTGCACCTCTCTGTGTCTACCTTTTCTTGTTACTTCTGATTTATAACTACTGCTTGTCTGGAAGTTGACTTAAATCCAAAGTAGGACTCTCACCTATTTTGTGAAAAGAGTAATTGTCACTGTAGTAATTTAAGAATGTGTCATTAATGGCCATAATAGTGTGTTTGTTGGCATGGTAAATATATATCAGAAAGTGTCACACTGCTATTGATTGTGTACCTTCATGGTACTATCACTCCTTTTTAACTATACTAAAGTGCATCTTATCATCCATGCAGTAGAGTTTAAGGAATTACACTTTACTATGTTGAATGTCTTTTAATTACTTGACATAGTAGGTACATTATGCACATATGCATAATTGAATTCTATAAATTACACTTTACTGATAAGGAATATGAGTTTCAAAAAGGGTTATGGACACACTTACTTGTGCCCATAATCACAAGTAAATAGCTGACCTTGGATTTTAGGCTAGATTGTGTTTCTCAAAAGTACATTCTTTTCCTTATGTACATATGCAATCAGACACACATATGTGTGTATATATACACACATGTGTGTATCTACAGACACGTATTTTGCAATTGGATTTATCTTACTCCAGAAATATTTATTTTGTGTCACATCTGATTTTATTTGAACATCTTTCTCCTTCAACTTCTTCTCTTATTCTAAATTTTTCTCATAGAAATTAGGCTGTATGTGCCCTCATTTTTTTTATATACTTACCTTCCGTCATGATTTGTGTGAAACTTTACAAAGCCAATTGGTTTTACTTTCATTCATGTATGCACTATTTGTGTTATAACATTAATTATAGTGCTCACACTTTTCCTGCTTCCTTCCTATATTCTCATTTCCATTAGTGCTTCTGTTTTATCCTCTCCTTCAGAGATTTCTCTTTGGGCAAGCTCTCATTGTTTAAGATGTATTAATTCCAAGTACTTTGAGTCAGAGTCACAAGTAAAAAAAAAAACCGATTGTGCATTACTTATTTTATTTCTTAGGTTTTGATGGACATGTTTGATCAAGATGACATAGGTGTGGTTTCTCTCTGTGAAGATGAACCTATTTCTTCAGGTGAATTAAATTATTATGACCTTGTCAGAAGTGAAATTGCAGAAGAAAGACAATATTTACGGGAACTAAATATGATCATAAAAGTATTCCGAGAAGCCTTCCTTTCTGACAAACATCTATTTAAACCTTCTGTAAGTATTTTTTTGTGCTTGAAATTATTACCCGAAAAAGACACATTCATCAGCTTAAAATTATAAATAGTAGCTTTTTATTCTTTATGAGTATGTAAAACAAAAATACTCTTTCAGACAGTATTTGTGGGTTTTGAATATATGTGAATTATTATATTAATATAATAAATATGGCAACATTGAAAATTAGACAAAATCAGAGAGATTGCACTATCACAACATCTTCTGCCATGCCAGTATCTGAGATTTATCATCATTGATTTGAAGTTGATGAAAATGATGCACAGTCTAAAGAAACAAGTCCTATACTTTTTCTTTTGGTGAGTCTTTAAGGTAGCAGTTTAAAAATTTAAGGGGAGCTTTGGTGGCCTAGTGGCAAGGAGCTGCAACTACAATCCCAGAGGCGCATGGTTCGAATCCACCAGATGCTCTGCCGGGGAAGGAGGGACAGTTTCCTCCTGTACCAGTCAGATCTGATTTGACGGTACACTCACACAAAAAATAATAAAATAAAAATTAAAAAAAAATTTACCAATGAAACATTTTGAAAAGAAAAGTTTTCCCAGAATACCACAAACACAAAAGCTGGGCTGCTCTCCATAGAGAAAGAAGCGGGTGAGCTGAATGGGGATCTAGACACATCTGGTCCATATTGTTGTTGTGTGCCATTGAGTCAGAACCAACTCATAACTGACCCCCAGCAGGTTTTCATAGGCAGTAAGGGAAATCATAGAGGATTGCCCATCCCTCTGCGATTGATGGAGCAGCTGGTAGTTTTGAACTATGTGCCTTTGGGATTGCAGCACAGTTTCTTACTACCTCTTACCAGGGAGATCACCAGAGCCGCCTTTGTTGTTCTTACCTCTGTAATTTCCAAAGTCAGTTCTTAGGACTTTTAATTCAATTGTCCTTAAAATCCATTTTCTTTTACTTTCCTATTTTTATTGTATGATTTTTTTCTTCCTTAGATAGTTATGTCTGCCTCTCATATTTTCAAATGCTCAGCCGTTAACTTATTTTATCTTATGTCTCTTGGAGCCCTGGTGGCATAGTGTAAAACATACTGAACTGTTACCAGGAAGATCTCCTTAGGGGAAGATAGACAATCTTTGCATAAAGATTTAGTGCTTTGGAAACCTAGTGGACGATCATTACGATTTGGGAATTGGAACTGGTTCAGTGACAGTGAGCTTAGTTTTTCTCATTCTTTTCCAAAGGAATAAGTGAGGATGTGAAAACAAGTTGTTTTAATTACCCTTTTTTCTTTTTTCATATATTGAGAAATAACTCCCACTGGATATAATACCTCAGTACTAAGGTAGTCATTATATAGAAAGGAATTGGCAGATATAGAGGAATTTAAAGAAATAACATATGAGTAAGAGCCTATGGTGATGAAGGAAGAAGTTCAAGCTGCTTTGAAGGAAATAGCAAAAAATAAAGCCCCAGGAATAGATGGTATACCAATTGAAGTATTTCAGATAACAGATGTTGCCCTGGATGTGCTCACCAAGTTGTGCCAAGAAATCTGGAGAACAACCACTTGGCCAACTGACTGGAAGAGATCTATATTTGTTCCCATTCCAAAGAAAGGTGACCCAACTGAGTGTGGAAACTACAGAACAGTGTCATTGATTTCACATGCAAGCAAGATTCTGCTGAAGATCGTCCAAAAACGATTAGAACAGCACATCAGCAGAGAACTGCCGGAAGTCCAGGCTGGGTTTAGAAGGGGTCGTTACTAGGGATATCGTTGCTGATGTTAGATGGATCTTGGCTGAAAGCACGGAATACCAGAAGAATGTCTATCTGTGTTTCATTGATTATGCAAAGGCATTTGACTGTGTGGATCATAACAAACTGTGGCTGACTCTGAGAAGAATGGGAATCCCAGAACATTTAATTGTGCTAATACGAAACCTATACTTGGACCAAGAGGCAGTAGTCAGAACAGAGCAGGGTAACACTGCATGGTTCAAAATAGGGAAGGGTGTACGCCAGGGATGCATCCTGTCTCCATACCTTTTCAACATGTATGCAGAGCAGATTATCCGAGAGGCTGGGCTCTATGAGGAGAATTGTGGCATCAGGATTGGTGGAAGATCTATCAACAATCTCCATTATGCAGATGACACAACCTTGCTTGCTGAAACTGAGGAGGACCTCATGCACTTGCTGCGAAGGGTCAAGGACTGCAGCCTTCAGTATGGACTAAGGCTCAACGTCAAGAAGACAAAGATTCTCGCCACTGGACCAATTGGCAGCGTCAGGATGGATGATGAAGAGATTGAGAGTGTACACAGCTTCAGTTTGCTCGGCTCCACAGTTAACACTCTTGGTACCAGCAGTCAGGAAATCAAAAAACATATCGCGATGGGAAAGTCTGCCGATAGGGACCTCTCAAACGTACTCAGGAGCAACAGTGTCTCTCTGGAGACTAAGGTGCGCCTGATACAGGTCATGGTATTTGCAATCGCTTGTTATGCATCAGAGAGTTGGACAATGACTAGGGAGGACAGAAGGAGAGTGGATGCTTTTGAGCTGTGGTGCTGGAGAAGGGTACTGAATGTACCCTGGACTGCCAGGAAAACAAACAGATCCATCTTGGAGAGGATTAAACCAAGCTGCTCCTTGGAGGCAAGGATTCTGGGGCTTCGTCTGACATACTTTGGACATGTTGCCAGGAGGGACGGGTCCTTGGAGAGGGACATCATGCTTGGGAGGGTGGAGGGACAGTGCAGGAGGGGAAGACCCTCTATGAGATGGATTGATTCGGTGACTGGGGTAATCGGGATGGGTGTGTCAGAGGCGGTGCGGTTTGCGCAGGATAGAGCAGGGTTTAGAGCTGTTGTGCATAGGGTCACTATGAGTCGGAAACGACTCGATGGCACATAACAACAACAACTACTAAGGTAGTGAGCATTTTAGGTTTGCAGAGCATGTCCTATATTGTTTGACCCTATGAGATAGAATCTACACTGCAGTCTTGAACATACGCAGTTCAAATACACCAGCTCTCTTCAGGAGAAGGATGGGTATTCTCCTCCTGGGCGCTTAAGTGCATCTGAAGACCCTGCTGAAGGGTCAGCTATGGGTCAGTTCCAACTTGATGACACACACAACATGAGATAGGTAAAATCAGCTGCCTTTGCATCCTTCCAGGCTCATAGCAACCCATGTGTGTTCGAGTGGAACTGTGCTCCATAGAGTTTTCAGTGACTGATTTTTCAAAAATGTTGCCAAACCTTTATTTCTCTGGATGGATGTAGATTTCAGACTTTTAGGAGTTGAGTGAGTAAACCATTTGTATCACCCAGGGACTGTGAGGTAGGTAGGACAAGTGTTATCTTTACCTCACACGTGAGGAAGTTGACCCAAAATGGTTATCACTTGATCAAACTGGTTCTAGAGTTTGAATTTATATTCTTTTAAATACTGAATAATTAGTTTTGAGTTTTATATTTAAGGGTATGAAGAGCAAAACCCTAATAAATGCTGGTAGCTAATACTATCTTCTTTGTCTCTCTAGTATCCTAGTAGTTTACATTCCTTAGGAAGTAATTTTTCTGGATCCCTTTTCTCTGAATTAGTGCTTCTATGACTGAAAACTTCATAAAAGAAACAGTGACCAGAGGGAGAAAGATTGAATCTATCTATTTGAATATAGCCAAGCCTGTATTTTTATGAGTGTAGTAAAGTCCTTTTGACATAAGAATTTAGTGCTTAACAAATGCTAGATGAAGGAATGAATGACTTAAGACTGGGCTTAATTTATTCTGATAGGCCCCACTCCTATGAGATGATTTCCATAAATAGCTCTTGAAACATATTGTTGTTACATATCATCAAGTTGAAACTGACCCATAGTTGACCCTCCAGTAGGTTTTCAAAGGCAGTATATCACACTAGAGGAGACTGCCCATCTTTCTCCTGCAAAACAGTTGGTAATTTGAACCAAGTACCTTTGGCTTGGAAGTACAACTTCTTAACAATAAACCATCAGAGCTCCCTCCTGTCACATATTGTTGTAAAGTGCCATCGAAGTGACCATGACTCATAGCGACCCTGTGAATAATATATTTGAACACTATCCTATCTTGTGCCTTCCTTATCCTTGACATGTCTGAGTCTGTTCCTGCACTGTATCAATCCATCTCAATAAGGATCTTCCTCTTATTGCTGACCCTCCTCCTTTCCAAGCATGATGTCTCTTTGCAAGGAATAGCCTCTCCTTGCTTCCAAGAAATATTCAGTTGCACTTTCTTCAAAGCATACCTGTTTGTTCTTTTGGCAGTCCATAGAATATTCAGCACTTTTCTCCAACACCATAATCCAAACGCATTTCTTTTTCTCCCTTCATCTTTATTCATTGCCAGCTCTCACTTGCATATTAGGCTGCATATTGGCACATATTAGTCCTTGCTAATATGTGGCAGTTTAGGAGGGGGTAGGTACTAGAATCAATCCAACAGAGCAGGTAAGTAATTTGCGCAGGGTCACAAAGCTAGTATTTCCTGTGGATTAAGTGTAGTACTTAAGGTTGTAAGGAGATCACAGTGTAAATATTTAGAATGTTATTGTTACTGGGTACCATTGAGTTGGAACCAACCCATAGCTGACCCTCCAGTTTGTTTTAAGAGGCAGTTAATACACAGGAGAAAATTGTCCATCTTTCTCCTGTGGAACAACTGGTAGCCTTGAATCACGTGCCTTCAGGATTGCAGAGCAACTTCTTGCCACTAGAACATCAGAGCGCCCTTAGAATAATACCTAGAATAGTGCCTGAAATATAATGTATTCAACAAACACAAGGCCATTTATCTAGCAAATGGTGGAACCAGGATTCAAACTTAAGTCTTTCAGACTCCTTTGAGGTTTCCATTATAAGATGCTACAGTAAATAATAATTGGTCATAATTTGGATGTCTGAATGATCTTTGTATCCAAAGGACTTAAAATTGCCTCCTAGATGTTGAGAGTTTCACTGAAATTTTGGATTCTACTTCAAATTCAGGAGACCAACCATGAACTGTGAAATCAGATTGTTATCTGGAAGTAGGATTCAGATTTTCATTGTAATCACAGCTCATATCATTAATTAGTTCTGAAAAACCTTGAAAGAGTAAAGAGTTTTAGGTATGTTAGAATGTTATGTTTTGTACTGCTAACCAAAAGGTCAGTGATTCAAATCCATCAGCTATTCATCAAGAGAAAAATGAGAAGTCTCCTTCTGTAAAAATGCAGAAACTCAATGGTGGGTCACTGTGGGTATCTTGTTCACACTGGTGTGTAAGTATATGTTTGAATCATCTACTTTCAGTTCTTTTGGCTATGTGCCCAGGAGTGCAATTACTAAGTCATATGGTAATTCCCACAATTTTTTATAAGCACAGTCTAGTGTTCTGGCATTCCCATTCTTCTCAAGATTAGCCAAAATTTGTTGTGATCCACACTGTTAAATGCCTTTGCATAATCAATGAAACACAGATAGACATTTCTCTAGTACTTTCTGCTTTCAGCCAAGATCATCTAATGTGGGCTATGATGTCCCTAGTGCCACAGGCTCTTTTAAAACCAGCCAGCAAATCTCGCAGTTCTCTGCTGATGTACTGTTCCAGTTGTTTCTGGATAATTTTCAGCAGGATCTTGCTTGTGTGTGATTATTAGTGATATTGTTTGAAAACAAAATAGAGAAACATTGCATGGTTCAGGATCAGGAAAAGCGTGCATCAGGGATGCATCCTATCTCCATACACTTTTCAATCTATGTGCAGAATAGATCATTCAGGAGGCTGGACTTTATCAGAAGGGGTGTGGCATCAGGATTGGAGGAAGATTCAATGATCTGAATGATGTGGATGACACAAGTGTGTTTGCTGAAACTGAAGAGGACATGAAGTGCTTGCTGCAGAAAGTCAAGGACTGTAGCCTTCAATATGGATTAAGCCAACATGAAGGAAGCAAAGATTCTCATTACTGGACCAAGTGGCACCTTCATGATGGACAGAGAAGAGATTGAGATTTTTGATAACTTCAGCTTGCTTGGTTCCACAGACAACACTCTTGGCACCAGCAGTCAGGAAATAAAAAAATGAATTGCGTTGGGAAAGTCTGCTGTCAGGGAACTCTCTAGAGTACTGAAGAGCAGTGATGTCAGTCTGGAGACTAAGGTGTGACTGACCCAAGCCATGGTCTTTGCAATTACTTGCTATGCATCTGAGAGCCGGACAGTAATTAAGGATAATAGAAGGATCAATTCCTTTTGAATTGTGGTGCTGGAGAACAGTGTTGAACATACCGTGAACTGCCAGGAGAACAAACAGTTCTGTCCTGGAAAGGGTAAAACCAGGCTGATATCTGGAGGCAATGATTTTGAAGTTCCATGACATACTTTGGGCCCATAGCCAGGAGGTACCAGTCTTTAGAAAGGGACATGCTTGGAAGGGTTGAGGGACAACATAGGAGAGGAAGACCCAGGATGAGATAGATTGACTCATTGATTGAAGATATGGGATTAGGTCTGTTGCAAATGATGAGATTGGCTTAGGATATGGCAGAGTTCAGAGCTAATGTACATAGGGTCACTGTGAGTCATAGGTAACATGATGGCACATAAAAATAACAACAACATGGTAATTCTGTGTTTACCATTTTGAGTAATCCTAAACTGTTTTGCACAATGACTGTGCCACTTTACGTTCTCATCAGCCAAGAACAAGGCTTCTATTCTATATGTATCTTCTCCAATTCTTCTTTTTTCTGGTAGTAGCCATCCTAGTGAGTATGAAATGGTGTCTCATTGCAATCTTTATTCCAGTTTCTCTAGTGGCTAATGATGTCATGCTTTTTGTGTATGCTTAATACTCAAATGCTTAATAGTTAGTTGTATATCTCTTGGGAGATACGCACCCAGATTTGTATTGGGTTTCTCTTTGTACTTAATACATTTCAATCAAAAGCCTCAACTTTGCATGCCTTAACCTCTTTTTATTTATTTTTTTCCAGGATATTGAAAAGATTTTCAGTAACATTTCAGATATCCATGAACTGACTGTGAAACTTTTAGGCTTGATTGAAGACACAGTTGAAATGACTGATGAAAGCAGTCCTCATCCTTTAGCTGGAAGTTGTTTTGAAGATCTGGCAGAAGTAAGTTTGCAAAAGGACTTTATTATAGTCTCATTAAAATTCTAAGTATTGTATTAAGATATTCATAAATGTATTTCCTGTGAAAGTTAGAAGATATTACAGGCAGGATGGGGTCACAGGAACATTGGTAAAAATCTTATTTTAAAGTAAGAATTTAAAAATTAAAAATTAGATTCTATCAGTTCGCTGGTAGAATTCTCTTATCTCAGGAATTCTGGGATCCAGTTCTGCCCAGTACACCTCAAGCACACCTCCCTGTCAGTGTGAGCTTGTATATTGCTATATTGCTGATCAGGTTTCAGTTGAGCGTCCAAATGAAAATAGACTAAGAAGAAATACCTGGCAATCCTACTTCTGAAAATCAGTCAAGTTAAACACTCTGGGTCACAGTGGTCCATTGTGCCTGAATCTAACTCAGCAGGAGCCAACAGCAAATAAGTTAGAAAAAATACCTTGTATCTAACCAACTGTTGGCTTACTGGGTGGCACACTTTGTACTTGATTATTAACCTAAAGATTGCTTCAAACTTGTCTACTGTACTGTGGAAGAAATTCCTGGCAGTCTCTTTATAATCCTGGCAGTCTGTTCGTAATGGGGGAAAATAGCACTGTCACTAGCTCTGAGTGTCATCCTATTCACTTTGGCCAGTCTAATGGGGGGGGGGGGAAACCTATAGGATCTCATTGTTATTTAATTTTACTTTATTTTTTAAATAAAAACTAATCATGTAGAACATCTTTCTATACATATTGTTGTTGTTGTTGTGTACTATAGAGTTGGATCCAACATAGAGTTGACCCTCGGGCAGGTTTTCAGAGGCAGTTAATCACAGAGGAGGAGATATAGCCTTTAATTTAGCCATTTTAATTTTTAAAAAGACCCCATTTACTCTGGGTAAACCTAACTAAAATTTCAAATCTCTGCTTTCTTTTATTAATAAATACACTTTTCCTACATTAGGAGTAAATATGCATAAGCAGTCACTAGTTTCATACTTAGTAACCACAATGTCAAGGACTTATTTTAAGACCAGTAGTCTCATGTTATCAACTGTCAAGGACAGTATTAGAAAAGTTACATTTAAATTTTCTTTCAAATTGTATCTCTAGCTCGTATTTGTCCTTGAAAAGCAAAAACCATAATGTTCCAAAATCTAGCTGAGGAACGAGAAAAAAAATCACCATTAAAAAATCTGATCAGATTAGTATAAAAGATAATTTTTTTTTTAAAAAGATACTGGTTTGTTGGGGGATTTTTTTTTTCCTGTTTCTTTCATTTTACTTCAGTATAATAAAAATAAACAATTCTGTGTTCCCCAAATCAATCTCAAGCTGTTCTCTGATTGGAATACTCCCTTGTTGTTAGGATCTGTAGAAACACTTCTGATCACACAGGACCGATCATTGCTAATGTCTGTGCCATTTGTGTCAGTCACCATGGCAGGACTGTACCAGTCTATCTCACCAGGAGTTTTCCTTTCTTTTACTGATCCTCTGCTTTACCAGGCTTAATATCCTTGATGAAACACTGGTTCCTCCTAAAATATTGTTATAAACTTTACATTTTTCCCCTTTTAAAAACACAGGAGCAAGCATTTGATCCATATGAAACACTGTCACAGGACATACTTTCACCAGAATTTAATGAACATTTCAGCAAGTTGATGGCCAGACCTGGAGTTGCTGTACACTTCCAGGTGAGCTCAAATTAAAGGTTATCTTCTCTATAAACCAATTTAAAAAAAAACAACAAACTCCACAATCTTATTTTCTTTTTTCCCTACAATCTTATTTTCTAAGTATTTCTAATTCTAGAACTGTGTTTTGATGAAAGTTAAGAAATAATTTACCATGTAATTGTTTAAATTCCATTTTTATTGGATTTTGTTTTCTTTCTTGAATTCTCTCAATCTGTCCTTATGGTATGGAGAGAGAATACAACCATGCCACACTCCTTTCTCAATTTTAAACAATGGAGTGATCCCCTGCTTTGTTTGCACAGCAGTCTCCGGGTCCAGGTTCCGCATGAGCACAATCAAGTGCTCTGGGATTCCCATTCCTCTAATGTCAGCCACAACTTGTTATGACCCACACAGTCAAATGCCTTTGCATAGTTAATAAAACACAAATAAACATTCTTCTCGTATTCCTTACTTTCAGCCAGGGTCCATCTGACATCAGCAATGATGTCCCTAGTGCCACGGCCTCTTCAGAAATATTTTGCTTCCATGTGATAATAATGTAATTGTTTGATAGTTTCCACATTCAGTTGGATCACCTTTCTTGGGAATGGCAACAAATATGGACCTCTTCCAATAGCTGTCTTTAGCTGTCTTCTAAATTTCCTGGCATAGACTAGTGAGTGCATCCAAGGCTGCATCTGTTAATTGAAGAAGAATGTGGCATCAGGATTGGAGAAAAACTCATCAGTAACCTGCGTTATTATGCAGATGACACATCCTTGCTTGCTGAAAGTGAGAAAGGCTTGAAGCACTTGTTGCAGAAGATAAAGGAATGCAGGTTTCAGTATGAATTGCATGTCAAAGATTCTTACCAGTAGACCTATAGGCAATATCATGATAGACGGAAAGGAAACGGAAACTGCCAACAGCTTCATCTTGCTTGAATCCACAATTAACACCTTTGGTACCAGCAGTTAGGAGATAAGGAGGCACATTGCACTGGGAAAATCTGCAGTTAGGGACCTCTCCAAATTATTGAGGAGTAATGATGTCAGTTTGAGAACTAAGGTGAATCTGATTCAGGCCAGTCACTTGCTGTGTATCTGAGAAGTGGACAATGAATAAGGATAACAGAAGAATAATTGACCCGTTTAGGATGTGGCTTTGGAGAAGAGCACTGAACATTCCATGGAGGGCCAAGAGAACAAAAAAAAATAATGGCTTACAGAGGGAGCAGCTAGAGTACTCTTTGGCAGTAAAAATGATGAGGCATGCTTTGGGCATGTTACTAGAAGTGGGGGAGGGATATGATGCTAGGAAGGATGGAGGGTTGGGGAAGTTCAGGAAGACCCTCAACCAGGTGAATTGACTCAATCACTGCCGCAACAGGCTCTTGTGTGTTAGGAAGTGTGAGTATGTCACAGTATAGAAAAGGGTTCAGATCTTTTGTTCATGGGGTCGCTATGAGTTGTCCTCAACTTGATGGCACCATACAACAACAATCCTTAAGATGGAAATCTTTTGTAGTAGAGTATCACAAATTTGATGTATAAGAGTAACCTGATACATTCTGGACTTAGGATATAGAATAAATCTGGGGAACTATTTTAAGATTTTTACATTTTTTTTTAACCTATTAGAGAAGTGATAAAGAGTGGAGGGGAATAGCCATATATTATAGTGATTGCTCTGTTCAGCCCTTTTATAAAAGATACTCTGTAGAGGGAGAATAGATACGTTAATAGATTAATTAATACAGTTCTATGAATTTAAGTAGAAAGTGACAAATGTAACATATTTACTCTTCAAGCACTTTAAGGTCAGGCTAGGATAGGAGATGCTTGACTACAGGAGCATCTTACACCTTAGCCTGGCTCTTACCTCAGTGGCCCTCATTTTTTCTTGCTTAGTTATCTTTAGATACCTTGTCTGATTCTTCATCAAATTACTTCTGTCTGTATTCTCTTCAAGATATAACACAAAAATCTGCCTGTGGCAATTAACCTAATTTCTAATTCCAGTGGATATTTTTATTTCATATTTATGTGTCTGAAGCATTTGTCAGTCTCTTCCTCTTGTTAATTGTCTTCCAGGATACTATTTTCTACTAATTTTCATCTTACCAAGTTTGGGTTTTGGGGACTGCTTCTTTCCAGGCTTATTAATTACGGCCATTTTCCAGCTTTCATTAGCAGCCTGGTTTTTTGTTGGTTGTTTTTTTTTTTCTTCCTTTTCTTCTGTTCCCTGGTGCTCTCCTTGGGTGATTTTTTCCATATTCTTATAGGCTATAGAGTGTTGTGCAGCTAACTGGTATATTTTTTCCTATGTGGCTTTTTTCTCACAGTTCAAATACACCAACAGCTTCACAACAGCAGAAACTTAGGTAATCTCCTTCCATATGATTTGCTGTTGATAAGTGTCTTCAAGTCGAGTACAACTCATATCGACCCTATTTATAACAGGGCTGAACCCTATGCTAACCTGTGCCATCCTCACAATCTCTGACACATGAAAGCCCATTCCTGCAGTCCCTTTGTCAGCCCAACTGGTTGAGGGTCTTCCTCTTCTTTGCCATCCCTTCATCTTCCCAAGCATGTTGTCCCTCTCCAAGGAATAATCGCTCCAAGCACATGCCCAAAATATGTGAAACTTACCTATATGATTGACAGCTGCTGAAAATCTGTCTGCTGCAGAGTCAACTTTGAGACAGTTCCACCTCGATGAACTGAATGAGTTGTGTGTTTACACACACTTCTACATTTCCACTGAACTAGCTGCCTCTGGTGACCTAGTGGGAAGGATCCATGCTGCCAATACAAAGGCACATGGTTTGAATTCACAATTCACCAGGCTGCTCAGCAGGGAAAATATGGACAGTTTCCTGTCTTGTGATTTACTGCCTCTGAAAACCTGCTGGAGAGTCAGCTATGGGTTGATTCTGGCTCGATGGTACACAACCACAGCTCCCTTGAATTCTCATTCATTTGGATGTTTTAAATTATTTCAGCTAATAATATGTTCAAAATTGCTATTCATCTTTTCTGAGGATTTCCATAACAATATTCTACTTTCATACTGTTCTGAAAAACTTGTCAACATCAAATGAAAATGATGCCTAATTCTTAAATTTAGTTGATATAAAGATGACTGTCTTTTGTGTTTAAGATTATATATGTTCATATGAACCAAAAAGAAAAGTTAGTTATATGGACATTCTACCTATAAGACTTTTGCATATTCATTAAAAGCATTCACAACAAATTTTTTTCTTCATTCCAATTTTGGTAAGAATTCTTGCTATGGAATTTGAATCTATGAATAGTCATTACATTTAAGTTAAAGAGTAATGATTCATTAAAAAAACTGTGCTTCTTTAGTCAGTACATGGCATGCTTTAAGAATATACGCTGTAGAGTTAAAACTGCTAACTTTAGGCCAATTAATATTTGTATTACCTTAAAATATAATCTCTAGGACTGTCTTACCTTATTTGTAAAAATAATAATAATAATAATAATTTCTTAAAATTATTATAATATTTAAGCAGGGACTATATTATAGCACTAAGTGTGATATTTACCATGTGTACATGTAAATGTTAGTCAGGTGTTTATTAGAGGAATTCTTATACTTCTCAAGGAGAGTTCATTGCATGCAAAGTAAAAAGAGTTTTCAAAAGAAATGGATGAGTTGATGGTAGTAAAAACCCCCAATAAGCCAAAAATGTCATGACATATCATGTCTATTTGATTAACCTTTGTTGTTTGTTGTTGTTATGTGCTGTCGAGTCGCCTGCGACTCATAGCGACCCTATGTACAACAGCCCTAAACTCTGCTCTGTCCTGTGCCAATCGCACTGTCTCTGACACTCCCATCCCAATTATCCCAGTCATTGAATCAATCCACCTCATAGAGGGATCTAAAAATTAGAAGGGAGAAATTAACATCTGGAACATATCCAGACACCTTGCAGGAATAGCTTACTGAGTTAAAGGCTAGAAACCACAGTCCTGTAGGGTAGTACAGTCAATTAGCATAACTAAAAGAGATAATGCTCTGCTTCCTCGTTTGGTGAGTAGCAACTGAGATCTTAAAAGCTTTTGAGTCACCATCTAAGATACAATTATGGATCCCTTCCATCTGGGGCAAAAGAAATGCAAGACTCAGGAAATAAGTCCACAGGACTAATGACCCACATGAACCCTGATGTCCTATGACTTGAGACCAGAGAACAAGATGGTGCCCAGTTACTACTCGTAACAGTTCTGTCCTGGGACTTATTAGAACGTCTTTGATAGAGTGGGAGAAAAATACAGAACAAAATTCAAATCCCTAAAAAAAAAAAAAAAAAAAGTTAAAAAAATGAGGTTTACTTGCAGTGAGAGAATCTAGAAGAACCCTTCACTAAAATACTCTTAGAACTAATGGAATCTGCTATCTGGTGTCTCCTTTTAGCCAAATAATAGATGTGCTTAAAAAAAAATCTATCCCCTTAAAAAAAATTATATCACCTTGAGGAATGTGTTCCCTTAAACAATAAACTATGTGATACTAAATGGTCAACATTAATCTAAAAGCAAAATTGAAAAGGCAAGAAGAGGAGGAAACATTAGATCGATGCTAGCAAAATAAACAAGATAGACATAGTGAAGACACTAACACAGTGTGAAAATTGTAACCAATGTCATGGAACAGTTTGTACAAAAATTGTTTAATGGTGATCCAATTTTCTTTATGAAATTTAACCTAAAGCACAAAAAAATGCTTTTTAAAAATATTATTTTGAAGGAAGAAGAAAAATTTATAAGTGAGATGGTGACAGTGTTGAATATCAACTTTTTAAAAAGTATTTCATTCACTGTACTGTGGAAATACAGGAGCAGTAATACTTGTTAACTATAATAGTTGAATATAAAATTAATACTTGTTATTTAAAGATAATATAATACTTATTAAATATAACAGCTGTTATAACAGCTGTTAGAAGCAGTTGCAGAGTCTTCCAGTCTTTAAGTCTGTGCCATAAACATGTTTGTCTGATTTTCTGGCATAAATTGTTTGATTTAGCTGTTTATTTTGGTAGTGCAAGTCTCCTCACTTAGCAGCATTGTTGGACTCCAGAGATCAGATCTTGTGGAAAAATTAGGATAGACAAAAATTGGTATTAGGTGAAAATGGAGGATGACTGCATAATGTGTAGGTGCACAACCTTAACCATCACAGTCAGCGTTACTGCTGTACTTTGGTATTACTACAAGATGTATGTCATTAATACTAAAAAATCGTTTTCTCTCCTGTAAAAGCCAAATGTTGGATAAGGATATTGTCAATAAATGAGGAGACAATGTATATTTATGTAGCTGAGAACTTACAGAATAAGAAGAAGGGGGAAACCTTACTTACAGGCTTCAATTTCAACATAGAATATAATTCCAAATATAGTTTTGGTAAATCTGTATTTTTTACTTTTCAGAGTCATTTTTGTTAAGTACAGCTATCATATATCTTTGATGTCAACTGCATTATTTCATTTCAACTGTTAGTTCAGTAATACCAACTGCACTGTCCTTTCATTTTGCAGTCTGTTGCCCATGGGTTTAATGAAGCAGTCCGTTATGTCCTGCCACGCCTCATGCTGGTGCCAGTGTACCATTGTTGGCACTATTTTGATTTATTAAAGGTAAGGTGAAACTTAGTGTACCAAAAATATTTAAAATTTAAGAAGCCTGAAAAATAGCTTTTGACTTGATCATATTCTTTTTTAATACTTTTTATTCATAAAAGTAAAGTATCTTGAAAAATATCTAGCTTTTTTCCAGACATGTTGGTGTAAAAACACAACTGTTATTTCTTATTGTCACATCTTTTGCATAAGATTGTTGTTGTTAGGTGCCATCGAGTCAAGTACGACTCATAGCAACCCTATGAACAAATCATCTGAACCCTGTTCGTTCTTTTATTTTTAATTATTATTAAATTTTAACAGTTTTAATCAACATTTACAGAGATTTTGGGTTTTCACTGATTCATCGTTGCACTGTTTTCTCTACCCTCCTCCCCAGTTCGTTCTTCTTCCCCCCACCGCCCCGAATTTCATGTGTCATCCTCACACTTCCTGACGCACAAGAGCCCGTTGCAGCAGTCACCATGTCAGTCCACCTGGTCAAGGGTCTTACTCTCCTTCACTAACCCTTCACCCTTGTTGTTTAATAGTGTAGAATCTCAAAATACCTTAAGAGTTTATTGTTTTTCATGGAGACACATAAAATAACAATGTTTTAACTAATTCATATGTTGTTGTTATGTGCCATCAAGTCGCTTGCGACTCATAGTGACCCTGTGTACAACAGCCCTAAACTCTGTCCTGTGCCAATCTCACTGTCTCTGAAACACCCATCCCGGTTACCCCAGTAACTGAATCAATCCACCTCATAGAGGGCCTTCCCCTCCTGCCCTGTCCCTCTACCCTACCAAGCATGATGTCCCTCTCCAAGGACCGGTCTCACCTTACAACATGTCCAAAGTATGTCAGACGAAGTCCCCGAATCCTTGCCTCTAAGGAGCCACCTGGTTTAACCCTCTCCAGGATGAATCTGTTTGTTTTCCTAGCAGTCTATGATACCCTCAATACTCTTCTCCAGCACCATAGCTCAAAGGCGTCAATTCTCCTTCTGTCCTCCAACTCCCTGATGCATAACAAGTGATAGCAAAGACCATGGCCTGTATCAGACACACCTTAGTTTCCAGAGAGACACCATTACTCTTAAGTAATTTGGAGAGGTCCCTAGCAGCAGACTTTCCCATCGCAATATGCCTTTTAATTTCCTGGCTACTGGTACCAAGAGTGTTGACTGTGGAGCCAAGCAGACTAAAGCTGTGAACAATCTCAATCTCTTCACCATCCATCCTGATGCTGCCAGTTGGTCCAGTGGTCAGAAACTGTCTTCTTGACATTGAGCTTCAATCCGTATTGGAGGCTGCAGTCCTTGACCCTCTGCAGCAAGTGCTTCAGGTCCTCCTCAGTTTCAGCAAGCAGAGTAGTGTCATCTGCATAATGCAGATTGTTGACCACAATCTTCCCACATTTCTCCTCAAGGAGCCCAGCCTCCCTGATAATCTGTTCTGCATACAGGTTGAAAAGGTATGGAGACAGGACCCATCCCTGCAAGAAACTAATAACTTAATTATTTAATTGTAACTTGATGTAAGTTTACAAAGCAAATTGGTTTTTCATTCATACACATTTTGTTTTATAACATACCCTGAGTGTAATCACACTCTCCTTACTTCTCTCTGTTATTCTGATATCCATTGATCATTCTTTTCTGTACCGTCTTGTGGATTTAGGGTTTTATCCTTGGGTAGATGCTGCTCTGTTGACCTTATATGCTTGGTTATTTTAAGGAGTGCTTCCCTGGGGTCATTGTTCACCTTATAGACCTGTCTGTTGTTTGGTTGAAAGATAAGCCATGGAGATGAAGTCCAGTCCAGGTTCAAAGGGATAAATTATTAACTTTTAGTTGCATTAAATATTATGTTTCTACTTATCAAGAAAAGTACTTTTAATCTATTTTTACTTATCTGGAAAATGTTCAGAACAGTTTTGACAGTTGCCTTCCCCATCGCCCCCCCTTCTGATTGCTATTGTATCAATAATACTTGATACCAGTATTATGTTCTGATGGTCTACTCCTTAGGGAATTTTTCTGCTAATACAAAAGCTGCACTCTCTCTTGGTTCAAATTCACAAGCAGCTCTGCAAGAGAAAGATAGATGGTCTCCTCATGTGTAATTTACAGCCTTGAAAACCAGTAGAGGGTCAGCTATGAGTTGGTTCCAACTTGTCAGCAATGATATATTTATTTATACATATAGATAGTTGGTTTGTGGAGTCAGAAGAAATACAGATATAGTTCATTACTAGGTAATAGTATAAATTAGGGAATTTATATTATATGTAATTACCTCTAATAAAGTAAATTTTGAATTAAAGTTTGTAATTTTTTTCCCCCTGCTGCTTTAAATTTTGTGAAAGTTGGAGAAGACTCAAATAATGCAGGGTGATTTTTCTTTCTTAATTTTCTTAGCAATTGAAAGCATGTAGTGAAGAGCAAGAAGATGGAGAATGTTTGAATCAAGCTATTACTGCTCTCATGAACCTCCAAGGTAGCTTGGACCGAATTTACAAGCAGTATTCACCCAGACGTCGACCTGGGTAATGCCAAACTATTGAAAATATGAATATTCTGCATATATATTTGTTTTCTTAACAAATGTGTTTATAATGATAATTACATTTTCAAAAATTATACTTTGGTTTCATGTTTTTCCTCAGATCTTTTAAAATTAGCATTGCCTAGTAAATTATAATCTATAAGCTTTAAGAATGTGTAGTAGATAATATTTTTCCATAGTCTAGGTAGGAAATTTGAGATTGTAGTTTTAGTTCTTAAGGCATTAGGAACGAAATACAGAGTCTGTGGTACTTTTCCTTCACAATGATATAATTGCGGTCTGTAAAGGGAGTTTTCCAAAGTCATTTAGTAGCACAATTAATAGAATAAAGTAGCTGCTGTCTCTAAAATCTAGTGGTAGCTAGTTTACTGTTTTTGCCAGTTAAAACAATTAGGATTGTCTAGTCATTGAGTAAGCTAAATTTATCTTGGTATGTTTTTTTAGGGATCCTATTTGCCCATTTTATAATCGTCAATTAAGAAGCAAACACTTGGCTATCAAAAAAATGAATGAAATTCAGAAAAACATAGATGGATGGGAAGGCAAAGATATTGGACAGTGCTGTAATGAATTCATTATGGAAGGTCCATTGACAAGAATTGGTGCTAAACATGAACGTCATATTTTTCTCTTTGATGGCTTAATGATCAGCTGCAAACCTAATCATAGCCAGACCAGGCTTCCAGGGTACAGTAATGCAGAATACAGATTAAAAGAAAAATTTGTCATAAGGAAGATACAAATCTGTGATAAAGAAGATACTTACGAATGGAAACATGCTTTTGAATTAATATCCAAAGATGAAAATAGCATAATATTTGCTGCTAAGTCTGCTGAAGAGAAAAATAACTGGATGGCTGCTCTTATTTCTCTTCAGTATCGTAGTACTCTAGATCGAATGCTAGATTCTGTTTTATTGAAAGAAGAAAATGAGCAACCACTGAGATTACCCAGTCCAGAAGTATATCGTTTTGTGGTAAAAGACTCTGAGGAAAATATTGTTTTTGAAGACAACTTGCAGAGCAGAAGTGGAATCCCCATTATTAAAGGGGGAACTGTGGTGAAATTAATTGAAAGGCTAACATATCATATGTATGCAGGTATGTGAAGCCATTACAAATACTCGCTCTAGGATCAAGGACCTTAAAGGCTTTGAAAATAATATTTGATATCTAGAGTGGCAGGGGCAGGAGGTGGGAGGGAAACCAAAGAAAAGACAAGATTGACTTTAAAATATAAAAAGTCAAAAGTCATTGCTGTCCTGTCTCCAAAGCTCAAAATAGCACTAGAGGAGATTGCATATCTTTCTCCTGAGTAGCTGCTGGTGGATTTGAACTGCCAGAGAGAGATGTAGCTTTTGTACCTGACAAAGCCACCAGAGCTCTCTTTAAAACATAAAAGAAATAATAGTTAAATGTCTGTGAAATGTAAAGTTTCAGCTTCTTTAGTTACTCAATTAGTATTTGTAAAAATGGAATATTAGTAAGTTTAAATTTGGTGGGAAGAACCAGAGTAAAAATATAAATGAAGGAAAGCAACCAAAAGATGGTTGAGTTAATTAAATTGAGAAAATTAAACATGCAACATTGTTTTATGCTCTTCATTTTCAGATCCCAATTTTGTTCGTACTTTTCTTACTACTTATCGTTCATTTTGTAAACCACAGGAATTGCTTAGCTTACTGATTGAACGGTAAGAAAAATATGCATTTCATTTACTTTAACATTTTGTGAGTTTACTGTTGCTTTGTAGTTTGCAATGCACCTAGGCTTTATTATGCATGGCTTTATTGCACTTCATAGATAATGGTATGCTTTTTATAAATATTACAGCAACGCTTTGTAGAGCAAGTCTACTACTGATGCCATTTCTCCAACAGTTTATTCTGACTTTGTGCTTCCATATCCTTTTTAATTCACACAATATTTCAAACACTACCACAAGTCAGTTCTCATTGAGAGGGATTCTGTAGGCCCGTAGAGTTTCTAGAATCGTTACCAAAGCAAAGTGACATGTTTTTCTCATAGCAACTGGTACGTTCACACTGCCAACTTACCAGTTAGCAGCTTAATGCCTTAATCACAGTGCCACCAGGGCTTCTTAACTGTTATATCTGCTGGGAAACCAAAAGCTATGTAACTTTATGTAGTGGTCAGAAAGTGAAGTTACAGTATTTAAGTGTGCCTGTACTTAAGTAGTTCTTGATAATATATATTTGACATTATATTAATAGTATCACTGTTCTCTTCAAGAGGAGTGCTCATTGAAATCCATGTTTATAATAGAGGTCTGTAGAGGTCTATTCCAAAATTAAGGAATCTGTTGCTCTGCTAACCAAAAGGTCAAACATGTCCAGGAAGTTTAAATACACCAATTCAGGAGAAAGATGGGCCACTCCTTTCATTAAAGGTTTACAGCCTCAGAAACCTGATAGAGAGTGGCTGTGAGTTGGAACCAACTTGAAGGAAGTGAGTTTGATTCAGATTTTAGTCTTCTTTTAAGAAATAATCAACACATCTGACTTTAGAGGGAGAATTCTGTATTTTTTTATTAAATTTTATTAGTTTTAATGAACATTTACAGGGATTTTGGGTTTTCATTCCTTCATTGCTGCACCATTCTCTCTACCCTCCTCCCCAGTTCGTTCCCCCCCCCCCCCATGTTTGTTTTAATTGTCCAATTGTCACAGTGTTTGTCAAAGCCAGTTCTGATTAATCTCCTTTGTCAGTGTGTCCTTTGCCATTCCCTATCACTCCTCCCTGAGAGAGACTTCACCCTGATTCATAAGGAAAAGGGGATGGCGTATTCTCTTAGCTACTTCCTGCTGAAAAGGGACGCTGTGGGTTTCAGGGTGAAGATCTTCTCTCACTACTCTAAAGGGCCCCTTTGGCAGTAAGAAACACATAGACTATTATGGAGATTGATTTTGGAATTTAGATGCACTGTTATTAGTTGTGCTTAGCTGTACATGTTCATATCCTTGAAGATGTATCATGGGGGTGTTGCAACATAGAAGACACAAATTTAACTAGCAAGTTATAAGTACATGAGTCAAAAATTATGGAAAAGTAAAAGAAAAGATTCTTTCATTGTTTTACAAACCCTCCCCCAGGTCCCCTCCACCATGTAGCCATCGCTCTAGACTCCTGTGATGACAGAAATACCTAGTCACATATCTCTTTTAAGCAGTTTTCTTCCTCCTCTGTTTCAGTGCAGTGTACATTATTGAACACATCTTAACTCAGTCTCTCCCCAACCCCAAGGTTAGTCCCATTCTACAACAGTGGCATCATGCCATATTTGTCCTTTTGTGACTGGGATATTTCACTCAGCATAATGTTCTCCAGAGTCAACCATTTCGAATAATATTGCATGAGTTCCTTGTTTTTTAATGCAGCATAGTATTCCATTGTGCAAATATACCACAGCTTCTCTAGCCATTCGTTTGTTGATGGGCACTTAGGTTGTTTCCAACTCCTTGCTATTGTGAACAAAGCTGCAATAAACATGGGAGTGCATATATCTGCTTGGATGTCAGCTATGGTCTCTTCAGGGTATATTCCCAGTAGTGGAATTGCTGGGTCAAATGGTATCTCTATTTGCAACTTTTTGAGAAAGCGCCATACTAGTGAATTGGATCTATGTAATAAAAAAGTGCTTCCTTAAAAGAGACTTCTGTTTTTCACTTTAAAAACTTTTTATTGTTGAAAAATATAAAACATAAAAGAGAGAATAATAATAAACCCCATTTATTTAACATCTAATTTGCATAGTGATCAATGCATGGACTTTATAACATGTCTTTCCCTACCCACTTTAACAATAATCCTAGGGTTATGTTGAAGTAAATCCCAGGCGGTTTATCACTTCATCTAGAAATGTTCCAAAAAAAAAAAAAAAGAATAGAAATGTTCCCATATGTATCATTAAAAGATGAAAGATGATAATAGAAATATAACCATTATACATCTTATCATAGTTGTGGTGGTGGTGGTCTGTCAAGTGAAAATCAACTCATAGCTGATCCTAGTGGGTTTTCAGAAGCTGTAAATCACATGGGAGGAGATTTCCCATCTTTCTCCCATGAAGCAGTTGAGCCACTACCTTTGAATTGGCAACACAACTCCTTCCATCAGAGCTCCCATATAATTATTCGCTTATTTTAGTTAGCAGTACTTTTATAAGGATTAATTTTCAAAACTATGTTTCGGATAAAATTTTAACATCACAATCTTTAAATGTTATTTTAATGTATAGTATTTGAACTCTAAAATGACTTTTATTTCACATTTTAAAATGTGTAGCCAAAATTTTATCATTTCATTTGCTATTCTGAAAAGCTAAAACACACTGCATCAGTATAATGTGCTATGAAGGTCTGTGTAATTGTTCCCATGTTCAAACCAAGGACAGGACACTTGTTTATTGTAATTACATTTCCAATGACTGAGCAAATTTTTTTCTTTTTAACTTTGACATTATACCTTCTTAGATCTATTCTTTCTTTTTAACTTTTTAAAAAATTTTATTTTATTAATTTTAATGATCATTTACAGAGATTTTGGATTTCTGTCCATTCATTCATTCATTGTTGCATTTTTCTCCCTGCACACCCTCCCTCCTGCCCAGTTCACTCTTCTCTTTGAAAAGTAAAAGAAAAAAATTCCTTCATTGATATACAATCTGCTCCACCCCCCACCCCTCACTCCCTAGTACACTCCACTATGCAACCTTCATTCTGGACTCTTGTCATAACCATAATAACCAATCATATATCGCTTTTTGTTCTCTCCCTCATCTGTTTCAATGCAGTATATGTCATTTATCCAATTTTTCTCAGTCTCACCCCAACCCTCATGTCAGTCCCATTCTGCAACAGTGGCACTCTGCAGTATTTGTCCTTTTGTGACCGAGATATTTCACTCAGCATAATGTCCTCTTTCAATAGCATGCAGAATTAAATTTGTGCTTTCTCTTACATTTAAGGAAACATAGTCTACTTTCACTTTAGTAGTATAAATGCTAAGAACAGATTATTAAATAAGCCCTGGATGTGCTCACCAAGTTGTGCCAAGAAATTGGGAGAACAACCACTTGGCCAACTGACTGGAAGAGATCTATATTTGTTCCCATTCCAAAGAAGGGTGACTCAACAGAGTGTGGAAACTATAGAACAATATAATTGATTTCACATGGAGGCAAGATTCTACTGAAGATTATCCAAAAACGACTGGAACAGCACATCAGCAGAGAACTGCCAGAGAAGTCCTGGCTGGGTTTAGAAGGGTTGTGGCCCTAGGGATATTGTAGCTAATGTTAGATGGATCTTAGCTGAAAGCAGGGAATACCAGAAGAATGTCTATCTGTGTTTCATTGATTATGCAAACGCGTTTGAGTGGATCATAACAAACTGTGGCTGACTCTGAGAAGAATGGGAATCCCAGAACACTTGATCGTGCTAATGCAAAACCTATACTTGGACAAAGAAGCAGTCATCAGACCAGAGCAGGGAAACACCATATGGTTCAAAAGTGGAAAAGGTGTACACCAGGGATGTATCTTATCTCCATACCTTTTCAGCCTGTATGCAGATCTGATTATCTGGGAGGCAGGGCTCCTTGAGGAGAAATGTGGGAAGATTGTGGTCAACAGTGTGTGTTTCGCAGATGACACAACCCTGCTTGCTGGAACTGAGGAGGATCTGAAACGCTTGCTGCAGAGGATCAAGGACTGCAGCCTCCAATATGGATTGAGGCTCAATGTCAAGAAGACAAAGATTCTCACCACTGGACCAATTGGCAGCACCAGGATGGATGGTGAAGAGATTGAGATTGTTCACAGTTTTAGTCTGCTTGGCTCCACAGTCAACACTCTTGGTACCAGTAGCCAGGAAATTAAAAGGCATATTGCGATGGGAAAGTCTGCTGTTAGGGACCTCTCCAAAGTACTGAAGAGCAATGGTGTCTCTGGAAACTAGGGTGTGTCTCATACAAGCCATGATCTTTGCTATCACTTGTTATGCATCAGAGAGTTGGAGGATAGAAGGAGGATTGATGCCTTTGAGCTATGGTGCTGGAGAAGAGTATTGAGGGTACCATGGACTGCTAGGAAAACAAACAGATTCATCCCGGAGAGGGTTAAACCAGGCTACTCCTGGAGGCACGGATTCGGGGGCTTCATCTGACATACTTTGGACATGTTGTAAGGAGGGACAGGTCCTTGGAGAGGGACATCATGCTTGGGAGGGTGGAGGGATGGAGCAAGAGGGGAAGACCCTCTATGAGGTAGACTGATTTAGTAACTGGGGTAATTGGGATGGGTGTGTCAGAGGCAGTGCAATTAGCACAAGCTAGAGCAGGGTTTAGGGCTGTTGTACATAGGGTCACTATGTGTCACAAGCGACTCCACAGGACAGCAGGTAACACCGCCACCAACTTCTATTGTGCTATCAAGCAAGGGAGCTTGGGTGGAATAGTTTTTAGAGAATTGCCTTGATAACCTAAAGCCAGTTCAAATCCACTAATCGCTATGCAGAAGAAAAATAGGAAGTTTCCTGCCATTAGATTTAGAACTTCCAAAAACTGCCTTAAGTGTCAGCTTTGAGTTTGTTTTGTTTTTCATGCTATCGTGTTCTTTAAAGAGGTTTTACTCACCCTCTGCACCCCCAACCCTCCCCAGGGTCTTTTCGCTTGATCTTTTCTTTGTTACAGTTATGTGCAAAACTTTTTTTAAAATATAAAAGCAAGAATATAAATTTTTAGTATTGTATAGTTAAAGCATATTTTTTCTGTAGTATGTTACATATTAAACTCAAACTTTCTGCCGTAGAGTCAAAATCGACTTAGCTGACACTCTTTTGGATTTTTAAGGCTTTAAACCATGGGAGAGGAAATTGCTCATATTTCTCATTCTGAGTTTCTTGTGAACTTGAAATACACCCCCCTATGCATTAGGCCACCATACAGTAAGGGAAGCTTAATTATAATTTCACTTTGCATGTAGAAAAGAAAAGTTACTTGGTGAAAGTATCTTTTTTTTCTTCTGGATTTAAAACTCTATGTTTCTCTGTATAAGAAAATGTCTTATCATTTTGCCTTTCTTTCTAGATTTGAAATTCCAGAGCCAGAACCTACTGAAGCAGACAAATTGGCAATAGAAAAAGGCGAGCAGCCAATCAGTGCAGACCTTAAAAGGTTTCGCAAGGAATATGTCCAACCAGTACAACTTAGGTATGGCTTCCATACTGTATTTCTTAAATGTAATTCAGTCTTCAGTTTATAGTTAGAACCAAGTTCTTACCCCTGAATTCAGTGACAGTTTTAGAGTTATGCAAGTAATAGCAATTAAGTGAAGCTTCCAAATTTCTGTGAAGAAATTGTTATTAAAATACGCTGTCATTTGCTGTACAATATATGATGCTTATAGATCAGGGTACTTCCTTGCCATTGTAAATATAATCTCTCTTTTGTTCTCCTATCCTATTATAATATCATAATTATTTTTTTGTTTATTTTCTTTTCATAGTTTATATTATCTATAAAACTTCTAGTTTCTATGTAGCAGCTGCCAATTATAATAGCAGTTCTTAGGTCCTCATTTGCCAAACATTTCACTAAGTGCTCTATTGTGCATTTTTACAATATAATTATTATACTTTGTAGATGAGGACATTGAAATTTAGTGAGATCAACTCATTTGAGGTGAAATAATCTAAACTGAACACCAGCCTTATAATTTAAAGTGGTAAGGGCTTATGCTGCCAACCCAAAGGCAGGTGGTTCAAATTCAGTAGCTGCTCCTTGGGAGGAAGTTGAGCAGTCTCCTCTTGTGCAATTTACAGCCTCAGAAAACCCACTGGAGGGTTACCTATGAGTTATTTCTGCCTCTGTGGCAATGTGTTCAAGGATATATATTTTTTAAGTGTTGAAAATTGGAAGCACCTTTTGTTGCACTTTGGTCTGTGGGAGAACCAAAGGATCAGCTGTCCTTTTCATGGGAAGAGTTTTATCTTATTGTCCAAGATCTAAACACTTTCCCCCCTTCTTCAAATGTTAAAGTGACCGCCTTGTTTACTGCTAACCAATAAATTGCACTTTCAGAACTGAGTGTGTTACTTTCTTTCTTTCAAGGATAATTGCCACAAATGTAGCTTTAGAAAAATGGCAGCGATCCCAGCTGCTATGTCTCAGCCAAAACTAATAACATATATTCGTAATATAAAAGCATGAAATTATCCTATGATTGGCAACAAAAATTGTTTTCATTATTAATTTTTTGCTAATCTCTACTATTACTATATTTGTACTATCCACACTCAGATAAATAAAGCCTTTTTTGGCATGAGGCATGCATTTATGAAACTTTTATCTGGACATCAAAGTATACTCAGATTCTGAGTCACATGTGTTCTTCAGGTATCTATTTCTAAATATTTTCTGTGTTCTCAGTCCTGTGGTGACTATACAATTAGCACAGAATGCTAGCTTTGACGTAATTGCATTTTTATTTGGGGGGCGGGGAGAGGATACATGCAAGTTTGGTTTAAGAGTCAAATTAGGGGCTGAAGAGAAATACAACCTTATGCAGTTTCAGAAATAGCTGAGATAAGGCTAGAATATTTAGGAAACACCCACAAGAGGTGAAACTAGAGATTGCCCTAGTGGATTCATAGGCTTTAGATAGGCAGGAAAAAAACATTCATTTGAAATAGTAGCAGCCAAAGTAAGAAGGCAGAAATGAGAAATGTTATGCAGAAGAAATAGGAAATTCCTATGGGAGCGAGAAAGATACTGTATTACAAGTAAAATATGAGACTGAGTATGAGATAAGTTGAATTGAAAATGTCTTTTAAATCCAAACTAAACTGGTAAACCTGATCTGTAAGCATTTGAAGAAATTTTAACAAATATACATGATAGTAACTGTCTATATTTTTCAATTTTAAAATACAGCAAAAGAGAATTTGAGTGTACTTTCCTAAAGACATATAGATTCTACTAATATTTTACCACATTTATTTTATCACATAATCTAATAATTTATCTATTTTTCTGTTGATTCATTAGTCATCTCATTTGTGATGCATTTTAAAGTTTACTTCATCTTATATCTCAGTAGTTCAGTATTTTGCGTTTTTGATTGTAAAACTTACATATAGTGAAACCTTAGGTCTTCTTTGGTTGCATTTTAACAAGTTATACATCTCTATAAAGAAAATATTTTTAAACCTTCAGAATTTTCCCCTTATCTCCGGGAAATCCCTTCATTCCCTTTACTCTCTTTTTGTTCTCGCTGGACAGAAGTGGTCTCTTTTTTCCCCCATCTATGATTTTTTGCCAGTTTTGTAATTTCATGTAAATATTATATACTTTCTTGTGTCTGATTTCTCATACCCAGCATGCTTTTGAGATTACTTCATGTTGCTCAGTTGGTTGTTAGATTGTTGTTGCTTAGTATTTGCATGTTCTAGTATATGAATATACCACAGTTTGTCTATTTTGCCATAGACAATGTCCAATTTTTTACTATTATTTATAATGCTATTATGAACATTCTTTAAAAGTCTTTTAAAATAATACATTTTTCTTTATTTTGAGTAAATAACTCAATGTGTGAAATAGCTGGATCATAAAGCAATTAGTTGTATAGTTAGTTTTAGAAGAAGCTACAAAACCTTTCCTCAGAGTGATAGTGCTGTATTACATTCCTTCTGACAATGTTCCAGCAGCTTTCACATCCTTATCAGCGTTTAATGATGTTGGCCTTTATTGCCCAGCCATACTGATGGATATAACTTGTTGCCACAGAGTCAGAACAGACTCATAGCTGACCCTCCATTGAGTTTCTGAGGCTGGGAGAAGTTGTCCATCTTTCTTCCGTGGAGCCGCTGGTGGTTTCAAACCTCCAAAAAGGCACAGTCTTTGGTTCAGCAGCACAACTCTCTACAGACTGAGCCACCAGAAGTAGTGGACTGTATGTTGTTGTGTACTGTAGAGTCAGAATCAATCCATAGCTGACCCTTCAGGTTTTCAGAGACAGTAAATCACTCGGAAAGAGGTTGCCCATTCTTTTCCTTTGGAGCAGCTGGTGGGTTTAAACCACTTGCCTTTGGGATTGCAGTACATCTTCTTACCACTAGGCCATCAGATTATATGTTGCTGTTGTTAGGTACTCTCTAGTCAGGTACGACTCATAGTGACCCTATGGTCAACAGATCTGTATAGTGGTCTCTGTTTCCCTGTTCGTGTATGATGTTAATAAGTTGTTATTTTTATTTACTGTCCACTTATCCTTTTTTATGAAAACAATTAACTTCTGCCCATTTTTATTGAGTTGTCTTTTTATTATTGTAGGCGTCTGTTATGTATCCTGGATTCCCGTCTTTTTTCAGATTGTAATATATGATTATTTCTCATTAATCAGTGGCTTGCCTAGTAATTTTCTTAGTAATATCTTTTTTAAAAATTTTTATTATTTTTTGTGTGTACCGTCAAATAGGATCTGACTGGTACAGGAGGAGATTGCCCCTCCTTCTCCAGCAGAATGTCTGGTGGATTCAAACCACGTACTTCTGGGCTTGCAGTGCAGCTTCTTGCCACTAGGCCACTAAGGCTCCCTAGTTTTCTTAACTATCTTTGTTAAGCAGCTTTTAATTTTTATAAAGTCTAATTCATGATATTTTTTTCTTTTTACTATAATAATTTTTAAATTACCTTGGATACTGGGGAAAGTAGAAAGAAGAGAATATGGAAGCAAAACTATATTCATTAATCTAATAGAGCTTGGGTGGCATAGTGTGTAAGAAATTGCACTTGTAACCTAAGAACCATACAGCGCTGCTGGTTAGTATGCACCTGCAACTTTGCAGGAGAAAAATGAACAGTTTCCTCCTGCCATGACTAGAGAAACTTGATCGAGGGCCACCATCAGTTAGAACTAACTACACAGTGATTACTTTAATCTGAGTTTAAAACTGAAACCTAAAAAAAGGACAATAAAACTGGAACCTCTTTTTTGTGTGTCCTCATTTGTTGTTGTTGTTGTTGTTGTTGTTGTGTGTGTGTGTGTGTCCTCTGGACATGTTCTCTCAGTCACAGAACTAAACACACAATGACTTAAACTTGAAAGCACTTGTAATGAAACACAATGTATATGAATGACTATAAAACTCAGTTCACATTAATTGAAAAAGTCATTTTCCTTGGCTAAGAGAAAAGCCTATTGCTTGTCAAGGGAGAAAAACAGATAATGATATCATTGTTAAAGTAGTGAAAAGAAGAAAAACTTACTGGCATAACTAATAGACATTACTCTTTTGTGATGGAAAGTAGACTGTTATATTTGAATAGCAAACCAAACCAAGTCTACTGCCAAGTTCATACCAACACATAGTGGCCTTGTGGATAGAGCAGAATTGCCCCTAAATCCTGCTTTAGGGAAGCAGGCAACCTCATCTTCCCTGCGTTGTGATTAGTGAGCTACCCATGCAGACTTTTAGTTGCTTGATGAAATGCTTTAGGCACTGTGTTATCAAGGTCTTTTGTTTATGTAATTAAGTCTCTTGATTAAATCTCTCCTTACAAAGTTCTTGATCATTTTTGTGGTACCAAAAAGCAAAATAGGTCTTCTAAAATAATACTATCTTTCTGAAGTTAAATAGGACGGTATGGGTATAGTACCATTAGAATTTATAAACAAATGCACTAAATATTAGTTAGCTTTATATTTATATGAAAAATATGTCACAATTTGGATCTCAGAACATACCCTTTTTTTCCCCTTTGACTTAACAACTGAAGAGTTTAATTTCTTAAATTAATGTTTTATAGAGGACAATTACTTTAATGCTGTATAGAAAACAAGTTTTAGATAAAAAATTAGTGACTCTTTGAATGTCATATGTCTGTAACAGTAGAGAAGTAAAAGTAGTGTTAATTGCATACTTAGGTTTTAATAAAATGTTTCTTTTCATTTTATCAGGGTCTTAAATGTGTTTCGACATTGGGTTGAACACCATTTTTATGACTTTGAAAGAGATTTGGAGTTGCTTGAAAGACTAGAATTTTTCATTTCAAGTGTGAGAGGTATGTTATTTAAAGGTCTCCATTGAATCTTATGTTGCACATCACATGGGTTTGCTTCTTAATTTCCATGACTTTTAATCAAGAGTCTAAGCAATTATTATATGGAAACCAATAAAAATATTTTTAAAAAGGAAGCTAAGCTATCTTTTATTTTTAAAAAGCTGAAACAAATTTGGGATGATTTTTGTAGAGCTCAGATACATGTTTAGAACTATATGAAATTATAGAACCTTGCATTTTCAAATTTTTTAGAATAATTTTTAAAAAATATGTTCTCATCTAATGTTTGCCATTCCTTTAACTAAATAAAAGTATTAAATTTACCTATTTTTTTTTATTATTTCTAGTATCTTTCACCCTGAAAGGTGGGAGTTAGAAATTATTTCCTGCTCAGAGTTTCAGAATATAAGTCATGAAATGAAACTCTGTGCCATAAACATTTAAACAAATATGTATGTCATCGTGTATCATGAAAAGAAAAATCATTGGTTTTATCCAATAATCCAAGACATTGATTGAGACTATCATAACTAAACTTAGCTTATTCCATTTCCTCCTTGTTACTTAAGAGTAATTTTGTTTAAAATAGAAAGTATATTTCATTTATTTCAACTTAGATATGTATAAGATTCATTTTTATTATATGCTCCTTAAAATTACTCATAAATTAATTTTTAAGTTATATTTTTAACAAGAACACAAAATAATCCAAGAAGCCTTTATAAATAAACCTACTAAAATGAAACAAGTAAATAATAAGAATTTAGGAGTAGTGATACAAATGTAAAAAATGCAGATATTAAATTTGAATTGAAAATGTTAGTGAACCTTATATAGTTCTTAAAAGTACAACTTTATAATGACACATAGCCAAGCACTATCACCTAGCTTCAGTAATAACTTATAACTATTACAACTTATAACTATTGGCTTAGATGAAACAAAGTGCCCACAAGTTGAAGCTAGGTGATAGCACTTGGCCAAGTGTCATCATAGTGTTCTGCTTTTACATATATTTAAAATATTCTATAATAAAAAATTAAAAAGCATATGAAGATTTGCAGTTACTTCTGTTAAGTAGGAGGCTTTCCGTATACCTATTTGTTCTTTTTGCAGGGAAAGCTATGAAGAAATGGGTAGAGTCAATTGCTAAGATCATCAGGAGAAAGAAACAAACTCAGGCAAATGGAATAAGCCATAATATTACCTTTGAAAGCCCACCTCCACCAATTGAATGGCATATCAGCAGACCAGGACAGTTTGAAACATTTGATCTTATGACACTTCATCCAATAGAAATTGCACGTCAGCTAACACTTTTGGAATCTGATCTGTACAGGTAGACAATTAAAGTTAATTTGCTCTATTTTTAAGGACCTTAATTTTATATCTACATATTTTCAGAACATTTTATAAATTATTCATGAGTACTTTATAAAACATGAGTTAATGTTGTGGCTTGAAGGAAATGCCATACCAAAGTTTCTAACTGCAGTTTGTCTCGTTTGTAAAAGGGGAAAGTTTTATAACACATTATTCATGTCCTCACTATAAGAGGTCTCTATTGTTCATAGGATTTTCAGAGGTACTGACATCTAACAACAACACTAGAAGATTAGCAAGGAACACTATTGTTGTTGTTATTGTGTACCATTGAGTCAGAATCAACCTATAACTGACCCTCCAGCAGGTGTTCAGAGGTAGTAAATCCCATGGGAAGAGATTGCCTATCCTTTTCCTGTGAAGCAGCTGATGGACTCGAACTGAGTGCCTTCAGGATTGTAGCACAGCTTCTTGCCCTTTGGCCACCAGAGCTGCCAAGGAACACTAGCACAATGCATTATTGATGACTTTCAAGTCAGTCACTTCACTACTACTTGTTATATTTTCTCAGATTAATTTAATTTGGTCTACCCAAGCTAGTCATTGTGGATGTCACACTCTTGGCATCTAACTAGTACAATGAATGAAACATACTTTGTTCTTTCATTTACAACCCAGGCTCCTGTGAAGTAATATTACAGACCTTACAGGTAACAGTCACCTGTCAAAAAATAAGCCCATTACTTCCATCAGGGAGCTCAGGTGACCCAGTATAAGGAGTTGTGCTATAATACAAAGATGAGTGGTTTGAATCCATTAACTGTTCCACCAGAAAAATGGACAGTCTTCTCCTATGCAACATCTGAAAATCCACTGGGGATCAATTATGAGTTGATTCCGACTTGATGGCAGATAACTACAAAAACATCAATCCGTCAAACTTTTCTGCCAGCAGGAGTCTCCTTTAAAAGACTAGTACCCTTGAGAGAATATCCTAATTAGCAACTATTGTTACAGAAATTACACATAGAAAAGGATAGTTTGAGATCAGTATTAAACCGTTACTATTTACAATTCATGGAGACCCTCCTCCTGATTTCTTAATATACAACAGCAGCACATATCTTAATGCCTTATATCTCTCCATGGAGCAGCTGGAGGGTTCATTCTGTCTACCTTTTGGTTAACACCCCAACATTCTACCTACTTTACCCCAAGTGCTGATTCTCAGATAGCCATTTACTTAATGCTAATGGAGACTGTAGGAACAGACTACAGATAATCCTTCCCTTCTTTAGAAATGAGCCACTGTGACAGTATACAGCAAGGAAAGAAGAAGAAATGAGCCACTGGTTTACCTTGGCTGTACTGTTCAGGATCAGTACTTATAAAAGAGATTATCAATATCTGTTGAATAGTTTCATGTTATATTTTCAGTAATTTGGATTTCAAAAGATTTTTGTTTCTCTTGTGATAGGTAGAGGTGAAAGAATTGTTACTTGAGATAATAAAAACAGTAGTAATGAATAAAATTTTTCCTTACAGAATGACTGTTATATGAGTGGAAACCCCCCCCCCCC